AGGAGCCGACACGCTACGTCTTGGAATGACATCACCGGCTACTGGACGGACGTTAACCTGCCGTTAGCAAAGATGGCCTCCTGACGGCCTTCCTTCTCTCTAGCTTATAAGCTTAGCCAGGTGGCATCCAGTCACGGTTGCTGCCGTTGATCTCAGGGAGATCTATATACACATCTCCAATATGCACACATGACAGCATCTCAGCTCCGGGTCACGCCCAATCGATGCTCTGCTCTTGACCGTTGGCTGGATTTCCGAGACCCTCCCTCCCCCCAGCCTTCTCTTCTGATACCGCTGACTTCTTATCCCTACTACACTAACTACTAAACTGGCTGACCACTGGCTGCATTGCATCTCCTTCTCTCGCTCTGTTTCCTCCTGCGAAGCTCGGCTTCCAGCTCCATAACGTATGTAACTGCGCTACGGAAGTACTCTTACATAACTCCTCCTGCACCGCTAATCCTCTCCACGCCACCGACATGCATAGCCTTTAGATCCCGCCTAGTTACCATGAACCCCGAAAGGAAAAGAAACTTGGACGAGGGGGTTGGTTGGGCAAAGTCAGGGAGGGGGATGATTGCCGCCTGGAAACCTTCCTGCACTACTGAGTTTCGACTATATAACGAAGTTTTCTACTATGGAGTGTGAGTAAGTAGTAAGTATACGCTCGGGAGTTATGGATGGACCTCGGAGCAATAGTGCGTCTTCTGGCCGCAGCGGAGACAAGGGATATAGATACTCTGGCGGGCCATGATAACAGCTTGTCGATGACAATAATAATAATGACAGAGCATCTGACAACGAAACTACAAAGCCAGCAGCAGCGAGCATATAACCACCGTTCAATCAATCAATTGAGCAAGCCCGCTGCTCCCCGGCCCCACCTAGTTAGTCGACCAGCAGCGCATCTTGCCCATCTAGTGTAAGTAAGTATCCTGTGCGTGTAATGTATTAGAAATATGCTGATCGGTGGTTCGAGATCGAATGCCCGAGTCGTGTTTCTCCTCCAGCCCCCATCCCGGCCGCCTCCCTCTTTTGGTCGCTCTTCTTTTTGAGATGTGCGACCCTCGCTTATCTCCTTGTTCTTTCCGGGCTCTAGAAGAAAGACTAAAAGACCCCTTGGAGGCGTCCCTCTCTCTTAGTCGACGAGGAGGAAGAAGAAAAGAAAGGAGGGAAGAAGCAGTCCTCCCTCACTATTAGCCCGTCCGTGTCCCGTGGACGGCGCTTCTCCTGCCCTCTCTCTGCGGAGAGATTGGTAGAGGCGATATCTTCGAGCCCCCAACGCATGCCATGCTCGTCTCTGGCGTCATCGGCCAGGCTCTTTGCTAGCTAAATACTCTTAGCATGTCACATGCAAAGTGGGCAGCGCGTACTTACTTTGCTGCTGCTGCTGCTAGTTACTCCGTACTCTGACTAGGCGTCTCGCACGGAGTCTGGAGATATCCGCATATGCAAACCAACTGCTTAAAAAAAGAGACGAAAAAGCAACGAAAACACCGCTAACCCACTTGAAAAAAAAAATGGCCTTGATGAAATGCAAAAATACACAGCGAAGAAGAAGCAAATTGAAAAAAAAAAAAAAAAAAAAAAAGGAATGGGCATAGCTTAAGGCTGGCTGGCAGACGGTGGAGAAATCCTCTCTGGGGTCCCTCGCTGGCTTGCTGCTCTCTCTGCTGGTCTGTCCATACATCATCTCTCTATATACAAGGCCCCCTGTCTGCTGCCCTGACATTGTGCGGAATTCAGGAACCTGAGCAAGGGATGAGAAAAGAAAGGAAAGAGAGGAAAACTTCTGCGCTCCAGCCCCCTTTGCTCCTCAGGGATGATAAGTACACACAGTACGTACAGGTCACAACAAGTCGGGAGAGTTTTGTAAGAGCAGGCTGCCTATCGAGCAGAGAGATACAGCTACTCCGTACACTTTGAGGTATCAAGCGGTCGCTGCTTGGTGGAAGGAAGAGGATGATAGATACGTCTCTCCTCGAGCTTCTTCCTCCGCAACCAGCCTCCCTCTACGGACGTAACAGATTACATTTTAAAGCCGGAAAGAATTTTAACAAAAAAAAAAAAAAAAGGGCTAGGCTTAACCATCCCGTACACTAGAATGCAAAAAAAGAAAAGAAAACTAACGACATACCAGGTGTTTAGTTACGTACATACATTCCTCCAGGGTCTGCGATCAACCGGGCAGACCAGCTCGCCTCAAGGTCCATTTGCTCAACCAACTACTCCGTACTTAACTGGTTAAAAGCAGAGCAGCTAAAATCGCATCAACTGGGGCAAAAGCACCACGCGGACGATCAGTGGCCTGAAACCATGCATAGCATTAGGGCTCAACAGTCAGGGCAATCGTCGCTTATGACGGAGAAAGAAGCAAAGAAGTAAACCGGAATCAGGATAAGGATAAAGGATCCGGATCAGGAACAAGGAGAGACAAACAGGAACAGGAACAGGAACGGGAACAGGAACCAGCCCCATGCGAAAGTTCAATATGTTTCCCCAGATCCTTGGATGCCATAAGCATTAGGAAATCGAGTTATGCTGTGCGCAACGCTGAGGATGCTCTGCTGTTTGCTGTTTGCGCCACGGTTGCCGTTGTTAGGGAACGCCCCGTCCAATGTCCCTTGGGGGCAGGCTGTCTCGTCCTCGACGCTGGCTGCTGCTATTGGGCTGGCGATAGTTAGCTGAAGCTGAAGCTGCTGCCCCAAAGAAGCAGCCAGATGACCTCTCTCTGCGGACTGTATGGAGTAAGGGGGAGGGGTTGGTCAAGTCAAGGGCGCATTCTTTTTTTGATAAACTGAGCCCCCTTACCTGACGACAACAGCCTATCGGCCGTCAAAGCAAGCATCTTGATTCAGTCAACTGGTTGATAGCCAGTCACCCAGCAGCATCGACAGGAAGGATTGACACGAAGCGGGACAGCTCTTTATTCAGTAACTAACTCAGCAGCCAGCCTGCTAGCTAACCGTTGCTTCTTCACCATGTCACGATAACTAACCAACCCGCAAGCATTCCACCCCCCGTACGCCGTCCACTATCAACCCGCAAACTCCTCCGCCCACCCCTTTGCCCATTGCTGGTTCTAACCAGCCAACTACCCCGTAACTAACTAACTAAATGGTTGATAAACGTCAGCGAGCCATGGCCAGATCTCCGATCAAGGTTTGGCTCGTGGCTGCCACGAAACGAACTATTATTTACCTGTTGACTAACTAACACTCGCTGACAACCCTCGCCCGCTGGCCTAGTCCCGTTATTTATATCTTTTCTCCCTTCTGTCCATCTGCTCGCCCGCCCGCCGCGAGCTACGGAGTATAACTTAGTTACCGCCGTATCGTGATTACAGGCTCCGTCATGGCCGTATGGCCGTATCGAACAGGATACGGCGCTGCGTTACGGCGTCATCGACTTTCAATATTTGATACCCGACTGTTTAGCCCATTACAGCCGTCTTTCTCCCCCCCTACCCCCTACCCCCCCAACCGCACGCCTTTTTTGCACACTTCTATTTTGCTATTTTCCTTTTCTTTTTTTCTCTTGTGCTTTCTTTTCTTTTCCTCTTGGGCATTTATCCTCCGTATAATCAAATCTGGTGATGTCCTCCAAGAATGGTTGTGGGCTCCCGCCTGCGATTTGCCAGGCCTGCTGGACGATGCTCGTTTGTGGCTGTCCCCGAGCAGAGATGGGGAAGAGCCGTTCAAGGGGAGTCCTGGACTACTTAATACTCCGTCTGCGCAGCCCAGCCCGGCCGCTGTGGCCACGGAAGGGGATCTTCCTAGAGTGATGCCTGAGATATCTCGCTGCCTGCCTCTTTCTTCTCCTTCTGCTCCCTGCCAGCCCCCCTGTTGTACAGGTCCATCCCCGGAACGTCGTCAGAACACTCCATCATTATAACCCGGCTATCCCGGAGAAAGGCCTATCACCCCCCTTTCTGGCTCCCTCCTGGCTCCTGGCTCTCGCTGCTTGGGCTTCCCTGCCCTTCTCCAGCCCATCCCTGCCCTCGATTGGCGGTGGCTAAACTCTTTCCTGTGCTAGCTCAACCGTCTTTCTTATGCAACCCTAAACTAAAAGCAGAGGTCGATTCCCTGTCACTGTCGGGTCCTGCATTTGACTTCCTCTGTTGCCCCCTCCTGACTCCCTTGATGCACGGAGTAGACAGACATATGCCTGCGTCCGCCCGACTAATAGCAACCTACATAATATACCCGCCTCCGGCCCCAACAAGCGCAAAAGCAAGGCACTCGAGATAAAAATTTCACTCGAAAAGCAAAAACGACCGTCAGTCAGGTCAGTCAAACGGACCGACAGACAGACAGTCAGTTTTGAGAGAGCCAGAGAGAGTGTGTGAGTGAGGGTGAGCAGGAATAAGAAAAAGAAAGAAGCCTCGAACTCCTGCAGCCAGGCTGGGCTAGACTTCTTTTTTCTTTACCTGCCTTTTTTTTTTTACCCTTCCTCTCATCTCAAGTACCTGTCTATCGAACTCAGCCTATATACATTTCATTATTACTTACATACTTTGCATCGTCCGGCCCTGGGGTCTCTTGGATTTTCTACCCCATAGCCTCTCCTTTCACCCACCTTGCCCTCCTTTTCTCGTTAATCGATATCAGGACGGCGGCTACTAGGGCATACTCGTTATCGTTTTCATTTCGGGTCCCCTACCTCCCTCGCTCCTTGTCTCAACTGGCGGCGCGCCATGCCATGTGCTGTCGACTGATTTTCCTCAAGAGGTCCCACCTAACTGCATTGTGAAATCCCCCTTGTCGGCAGTGCGCCTCAAGCAAGCAGCTTTTAAACCGCCTACTTTATCTATCACTCCTATCTATACATACAACCTGCTTCCCCCCCTCCCCGCCTTTTACTTTTCTTCAGAGAAGAATCACTGGCGCCATCTTGTGCTAGTTCGAATCATATTTATCAGAGAAGAAAAGTACCAAGTCTGGCCACCATGGATACGGAAACCCCGCCGCTGCAAGACCATGACTTCGTCAGCTCGCAGTGGGTTGACATGGGAGGATATGCGGCTACTCAGCACCATCAGTTGACGGACTTCACTGGATTTCAATTCGGCTCGTCACCCATCATGCCAATTGAACCCGCATATAGCATGTCCATGCCTCAGCCGTATACGACACAACACCTGATCCCGCTCACCATGTCCTCTCAATGGCCGAGCATGCTGTCTACGCAGCCCGGTTTTGCGCCAATGCCAGTTGCGCCAATGCCAATGACTCCAATTCCGCCGCAAATACAGCACGTTCAAACGCCACAGCTGTCGACACCACCTACCCCACGAAGAACTTTGACCGACGCTGAGCGCCGACGCATGTGCTTGTATCATCAAGAGAATCCTCATGTCAA